CTGCATTGAAATTGTTCCGTCGCGGGCAGTTCAAGCGATTGCCACAAACGAACTTGTGCATGAAACTCGGACAGCTGTTACTGAGCCAACGAGTACTCCGAAACGTCGGAGGGGCCGACAACGTCGAAGACCAGAGAATGTCAGCTCGACTCCAGAGTCACCGATCCATCATCTTGACGCGGTCGAGGTGGTGGTCCCTGGAACTCGGCAACCGAAGGAAGGAAGCGTACTCGAGAGCGACCCATTGCCTTCAGCACCGAGCAAGGGTGAAAACGCAGCAGCAGAGAATCCCCAGCTACCGTCAAGTACTAATGAGGTAGCAGCCTCAATTGATTTATCGGCTTGTCCTGACGAGCCGGCCGAAGGTGGTACTCAGCCCAGCCTAAGTGTCATGCTGCAAAATGTCCTGGACCGGCTCAAGTCAAGTGAGCCCGGAGACGTGGACTTACGGGCAGTGGATGAGCTCTGCTTCCAGATTCGGTTTCAGGCACAGGTAATTACTCAACGCCAGGACGATAAGCTGTAAGAAGGGATATTATGGAGGTTCACCTATGATAAAGGTACAAAATAGTGGTATTGTGTGGATATCAAAGGTACAGAATATTGATATTGGTTTGGACGTGATGATGAAATGCGCATTCAATGCAACTACTGTAGCGTCGTCCGTGGTCAACTTGTTCTCTCTAAGGGGCTGTTGATAGTTGTTGCCCATCAATAGGTGGTGGACTTGGAGTTGTATGCGGCTGAATGTTCTTCCTAGAATGTTGCCACGTGACATAGTGAACGGAGATTCTGCTAAAGACCGGGCTCCTTCGACCATTGCCGTTGGCCATGATTATTATTGACTCTTTTCGTTCAACCACTACATACCCCGAAACCCCGAAATCGCAGCTCTTTGCACCTCTGACTCAACCGCTCTCACTTCTTCCTCCTGCACACTCGTATCCTCCCTGTCGCCCTCGTTTGTTCTTGCGCCGGTCATTCCCTTTGGTGTGTGTTTGGTCGAGGGTCTCTAGAAGTGAGAGAGAGTAAGAGAAGAAGAAAAAAAAAGAGCAACACGGAGAAGTGTCGCAGCAATGGCCGCAACTATCAAAGCCATCAATGCGCGGATTCGCTCAAACAAGGTCCTCGATTATTTCTGCTCCACACGTACGTTTATCCCAGCGAGCCTTTTTTGACGCACAATTTCACTGTTCATGAGGAACAACTGCGCTGCTTGCGCGACTATCGTCGCTGCGCTGTTGGCTAGCGATTACGGGAAAAAAGTGGTTGAGCCGCACGATTAAGAGGGGGAGGCAAGACAAAGCGACAGCACAATACAGTCACATGAAATCCGAGCTACAAGAGTACTGACTGTGTTGTCTGGACAGATTTCTGGGGTCCGGCTTCGAATTTCGGCATTCCCATCGCCGCAGTGTTGGATACACAGAAGGATCCTGAAATGTACGTCCAACCCCACCATCTCTTCCATCTGTATCCTTCAGTGGTACCTGCAAGCACACAGACTTGGGAACATTCAGTCATCGTCTGCTCCAATGGGTTGGGTCAAGACTTTGCAGCCGGTCAAGAACACCCCGAGACATTGAGGAACGGAGACTAATGGGGTCTTTTGACTACAGCATCTCGGGACAATTCACAGCTGCGCTCACCATATACTCGGGGACATTCATGCGATATGCCCTTGCCGTGACGCCCAAGAACTACTTGCTGTTCGCCTGCCACTTTGTGAACTTCAACGCCCAGCTCACACAAGGGTATCGGTGGTACGATTACTGGTAGTAAGTACAACCTTTCTCTATATATGCGCGCCTCAGGTTGTCCGGCGATGCGTCAAGCACAAACGCTTGAGCTTCGTCGGCCGGCATCTCCACTCCTCCGTCAAACCTGCTAGCAGCTCGTTTTTAATTCAAATCGATCTAATCGCTCGTGTTTGCAATTTTACAGTGGCAATGGAAAAGAACGCTGGGAAAAGATCCGCGCCGAGAAGGCCAAGACAGAACTTGAGGGCGCGGTCGAATCGATCGCCAGCCAGACCAAGGACAAGGTTGAGGGTGCCGTGCAAGAGGTGAAGAAGACGGTGTCGTAATTGAGCGGACGTGGATGTGGATGGGGCTGCACACAGGCCCCGTATGCCCGGGGAGTAGTGAAGAACGGAGACGGAGGGATCTTGCCTAATGCCTGGATGGGACACAAATCGAGGGTCGTGTTTCAAGTAATACGACACTTATTACCAAGGGACTTCTCTTTTGGTCCCCCTTTTGGGAGAGGTTTTCGGAAGTTGGTACATACATACATAGGAACACAGGAAACACGCAGTTCAGAGCTTTCTGGTTTTTCCCCCAAAATGACACAGCACTGCTGCTGACGTGACTGGACTGGGTGGATTGGAATGGATGATTCTACTGGTTTAGACTGGATTGGAAATTGAACGAGGAGGAAGTAAGAAAGATACAAAATGTTTTTTTTTTGTATTTTTTTTGTTTTGTTTTTTTGGTTTTTGGGGGCTGTCCTTTCTACAGTTGACTCGATATCGACATTCATGTCTTCTGTTCGTGAACGTGCGTCGGTCAATGTCCCTAGGATCTTTCCGGTAACCTGGAAACCTACTGTCCTAACCCTGTGCTTCGTGATTGTGCTCAAATCCTGTGTGCTACGGTCTATGCGGTTCGGAAGATGTCGAAAATCGAGAATCGAGAATCAAGAATTTCGGGATGATATTTGCAGATACCGAGGAGACCCCGACGTGGTAGACACCTCAAGTGCAGATAACTAGTAGAGACACTGGGTTTTTGTCTCGCCATGAAGCTAATAGCTACCTAATTGGTTAGCTATATAGGTATCCTCTGAAAAACTAAAAGTAGCTTGGTGTTGGTATTGGTAGAGTAGAGGTGGTGGTCCATCCGTCAACGAGAAGCCATCTGAGATACACACAGTACATAAATAAAGGCAAGGCGCGCGTTGAACGAGTCGTCGTCCTCCTTCCCATAATCGGATTGTCACATTGTTTGCATGTTTGCATCGCGCATTGTGAAACACCAAAAACTCATCGCCTGGTACAATCGGCAAGCTGCTTACTCCATCTCCATCAAACAACAGTAGCGCATCACACTTGGACCATGCTCAACCAACCCCCATCTCACAGACACGTGGAGGATTCTAGGATCCCTTGGTGAAATTCTGCCACATGCCGCCTAGAATGCCTGGTTGGCCGGGCTTCTGGTCGGCCCAGTTGGCCTTGCGTTCGTCCTGGCTGCTTCGCTTTTGCCCCGTGAGGCCAGCGAACTTTTCCGAGGCGGATGACTGTAAACCGCACAAGAGACGACAGTTGTTAGTTAAATAGCCAATTCGGATGCAAGTTTATAGAGACATCTTGAAGTAGCAGACCCATGCTGCGAAAGGAGGTTGGGATATCGTGAGGTACTCACCCGTCTTCGCCCTGCAGCGCCAGCGGAGGCTGCGGGACCTGTGGCTCCTGTGGTAGCCTTCGTCTCCTCCTTGGTCGGGCTGCCAGCGGCAGAGCCCTGGGAGGACTGGCTATTGCTCCGGGGCTTGTAGTTGTACTGTTTGAAGAACATGATTTCTGGTGACGCTGGTCGAGGCTGAGACTGGGTTCCGATGTATGTCACAGGAAGGTCGAGAAAAAAAGAGTAGGCTTTGTAGGACAGAACCCAACTCAAGTGCTTGGTAGGGAAACAACAGTACTTATACCACTATTCGATGGACAGTGGCCTCAGAAGGGTGAGCGTCGATCGATGCTGCGAGGATATGGTGACGTAGATGACACAGGTGGGTGGATCGACGAGATGAAGCTCAAAAAAGCGGAACCAGACGCAGCTGGTGGTGTGTAGATAGCTCACTGAGAAAGCCTTGAAGGATCCTGTGACTGTAGGTTGTTGGAAGTGTCAATGGTCAACGCTTGACGGCTTGATCTGGTAGCTGTGTTGTTCGAGAGGAATGCAGAGCAGTCTGGAACCGAGAAGCCCGTAGGGTACATAATGGAGGGGTGTGGGCGGTCATTTATGTACTGGCTGGTCCTCTCATCGTCCTCTCTTCTACCCCTCGCCAGAGTAGGAGCCCAGCATAAGCTTTGTCTCAGCCGGTCGAACCACCTGAGCAGAAGGATGGAGGAGACGAGGGACGAATAGCGGCATAGCAAGTGCAGCCCTGGTTCAACTCGCGTGCCACGTTCCCAGCTTTGGCGTCCGTTAGGGATACGAACAGGACTTCGAGGAGGGCAAATAGGAGAGATATCAGGCCGAGTCTAGCTCGCAGGTAGATACCTAGAGGAGGTCTGGTCAGCATTTATCCAGAGCAGTGATCCCTGGCATTTGTAGCAAACCTCTAACCCCAGGAGCCAGTAACAAGGTTGATATCTCCCAATCAATGCAGTGGAATTAGAATCCGGGGCCTCGGTGGTGGATTGTACCCCGCGCCTCATGATGCAGCCAAGTGGACGTTGTCGACAAAGAGACATGGATGGTCAGCAGCCGTGATGGTCCGTGGTCTGTGGTCCGCAGTCCGGAGCCCCGTTGGTGCCGTGGTGCCCGCTTGAGGTCATAGTTTGAACCTATGAAGAAGTGAAGAGACAAAACGGTACAAAAGAGAGAAAAGAACCGACGACCAACGTATGCCACCTGGTTGGTTGCAGCCCACAGACAGAGGGATCCAAGACCACCAGCCTCGAGGACCACACCACATGCACGTTCAGTATTTCACATGCTTCACAGTCCTTTCGAGACAGAGCCAGTGGCTTTTTGGGGGTTATCAGCATAGACTCACATGTGTTGCAGGGAGAACAGCCTAGACGTCTTCTAGCAACTAGGAAATAACAATACGGTCCTAATTCGGCCTTGCCTGAGGTGATAACAATGGATGCTTCCCTTCTCTCTGTCTCCTTGCTCCCCCATAATCCATACTGGGTTTCAAACCACCTAGGCTGTCACAACCCCCTCGTTTTCAAACAGTCGTTGCAATCTAGATCCCCTGTCCCACGAGGCCTTTCACGCCTTTGCAATCTTGCAAATCAAATCCGATCCAGCAACCGAGTCCCCTTCTTTGACCAGAATCTCGCCAACTTTGCCAGAATGTGGAGCGCTGATAACCATCTCCATCTTCATGGCGCTCAGCACAGCAATCGGGTCGCCCTTCTTGATGTCGTGCCCTTCCTTGGCTCGAACCTCCACCACCACGCCTGACATGGGAGCCCCGACTTGGCTGCTGTCGCCCGGATCGGCCTTGGGCCGGCTGGTGTTCTCCACCGCAGCCTTGTTGTCGTCGATTGTCACTTGCCGAACTTCGCCGTTCACCTCGTAGAACACTTCGCGTTGGCCGGTGGCTTCCGACAGGGGTCCCACAGCCAGCAACTTCATGATCAAAACCTTGCCCTTTTCGAGCTCCACGTGGAACTCCTCACCAATCTCTGGCTTGTTCAGGAAGTACTTGGTCGGGAGCACCGATAAATCGCCATACTTGTCCACGAATTTGCGATAGTCCTCAAAAACCTTGGGGTACATCACATAACTCGCCACATCCGTTTCTGCGGTGGTGTTGAATCTCTCCTTCAAGTCCTTCTTGACCTTGGCAAAGTCAATGGGCTCAAGATACAGCCCCGGTCTCTTGTCCATCTTTCGGCGTCCACGGAGCACGTCGCTTCGCAGTGGCTCGGGGAATCCGCCGTATGGCTGACCCATGTACCCTTCGAAGAACTCCAAGACGGATTCGGGGAAATCCAACTCCTTGGCTTTGGCCTTGACGCCCTCTTCATCCAACTTGTTGGACACCATGAATTGCGCGAGATCACCCACCACTTTGGAGGTGGGAGTGACTTTGACGATGTCCCCCAAGAGGTCGTTCGCCTGTTCGTAAGCCTTCTTCGTCTCTAGCCATTGCTCGCCTAGACCGAGTTGAGAGGCTTGGAAGATCAAGTTGGTGAGTTGTCCTCCTGGGATCTCATGTTCGTACACTTCGGGATCGGGGCCAGTCAAGCCAGCTTCGAACGGTGAGTAGAGCAATCTCAGCTGGGACCAATATTGGTCCAGTGCTCGCACGTTGTGACCATTTAGACCTGGGTCATAGTCGGTGCCTTCAAGAGAAGCAAGGAGAGCTCCAACGCTTGGCTGAGATGTCATGCCTGACATAGAATCTGATGCCGTGTCCACAGCATCAGCGCCAGCCTCCGCGCAAGCGACGTAGGTTGCCACTCCAGTTCCCGCCGAGTCGTGGGTGTGGACATGGATCGGGAGATCGGGGTACTTCTTGCGGATGGAGCCAACAAGAAGACGAGCAGCCTTGGGCTTCAGAACGCCGGCCATGTCTTTGATGCCGAGAATGTGGGTCCCAATCTTGACAATCTTCTCGACGAGGTTCATGTAATATTCCAAGTTATATTTCTTCTTGGGGTTCTGGTGAAAAAGTTAGTAAATGTACTGAGAAGCTTAATCAAAATAACCAAGGAAATCGTAGCAAGAACCAAAAAGAGCGCATCCAGGGGGATCGTGGGTTGCTTGTAAGTCTGAGACAAAAAGCGGCCTGAGAGTTGCAACCGCTGCCATGTGTTCTCGTGCTGCAAGGCTAGCGCTCAAGCGTCACTGCCATATAGGGGATACAGGCGCATTCTTTGTTGTTATCTTCCCGGTACAATCCGGTACCCAGACGAACGGGGGGTCGCGGATGCCATCTCCGGATGAAAAGGCAGATAACGAGCAAACACGGAAACAAGGCACACTTACAAGCACTATTGGATTGATTAGCATCGAGTCAGCGAGGGGGAAGATAGGAGTCACATACTGTCACCTGAATAGCAGATGGCGGCTTCCACAACACCACCGGCTTCCTGAACAGCCCTCATACCCACCTCCAATTGGTCGATGTCGTTGAGAGCATCAAACACTCTAAAGATATCCATTCCGTTCTTCTTCGCCTGCTTGCAGAAATGGTAAATGGCGTTGTCGGGGAGTGACTTGTAAGCAACACCGTTGGCTCCACGGAGCAACATCTGGAAGGGAATGTTGGGAACCAGCTTTCTCATCTTGCGGAGTCGATCCCATGGGTCCTCATACAAAAATCGCATAGCAACATCGAACGTGGCTCCACCCCAGCACTCCAATGCCCACGCGTTGTTGAGTGCATGACTTGTATGTTTGGCGATGTTGCACAGGTCGACCGTGCGGACTCGTGTGGCCAACAGAGACTGATGTGCGTCACGCCAGGTAGTATCCATGATGAGACACCCCTTGTTCGTTCGGACTGCCTTGGCAAATGCGGCAGGTCCTTCTTTGTCGATGATCGATTTCCACCCCTGCGTGCATGGCTCGTCCACATTGATCTCCTTGCCATGCTCATCAAATAGTGTAGGCATGATGATATCACCCTTGAATTTCGACTCGCCGATCTGGCCTTTGATGCTGCTTCCATTGACTGCAAGATCGCCGAGATACTGAAGGAGCTTCTGGGCCCGGTTCTGGCTGCCAATCAGTTTGAACAGCTCTGGAGTGTCGTCAATGAAGGTCGTCCAGCACGTGCCCTCAACAAAGGTTGGATGGGTCAAAAGCGAGGCCAAGAAGGGGATGTTGGTCTTCACACCACGGATGCGGAATTCAACCAGCGCTCGCAGCATCTTTCGGCGCACGATCTCGTAAGTGGAGCCGTGGCAAGTGCATTTCACCAACATGGAATCGTAGTGAGGAGTGATGATAGCACCAGCAAATCCGTTGCCACCGTCAAGACGAACGCCGTTACCTCCTGCCGATCGGTACACCTCGATCTTGCCGGTATCGGGTGAGAATCCATGGGAAGGATCTTCCGTGGTGATACGGCACTGGATAGCGAAGCCGCGCGTTGAGATCCGGTCCTGGGTCAAGCCTAGTTGCTCGAGAGAGGCACCAGCCGCGATTTGGATCTGAGCGGCGACAATATCGATGCCAGTAATCTCCTCGGTGATGGTGTGTTCGACTTGGATTCTGGGGTTGATTTCGATAAAGTAATATCTGTTCTGTTGGTCCACTAAGAATTCTGCCGTGCCTGCATTACGATAGTTGACGGATTGAGCTAGTTTGACTGCATCATTGAGAATGGCATCCCGGACCTCGGACGGAAGATCTTTGGCAGGAGCTAGCTCCACGACTTTTTGGTGCCGTCTTTGAACACTGCAGTCTCGTTCGTACAGATGAACAACATTGCCGTGGTTGTCACCGAGCAGTTGAACTTCAATGTGCTTGGGCTTGTCCAAAAAGCGTTCGACAAAGACTGTGCCGTTGCCAAAGGCAGACTTTGCCTCGGAGGTAGCTCGCTCAAATGAATCCTTTAGGCTTTCTTGGTCTCTGACGACTCTCATGCCACGGCCACCTCCACCGAATGCAGCTTTGATGATGATGGGAAAACCATATTGGTCCGTGAATGCCTTGACCTCTTCAAACTTGGCGACTGGGCCTTCGGTTCCGGGTACGCATGGTACGTTGCATTTCATGGCCAGTCGTCGAGCCGAGACCTTGTCACCGAGAGCATCAATGACCTGATAAGAGGGACCGACGAAGATGATACCGGCCTCCTCGACCTTTCGCGCAAACTCGGCGTTCTCAGACAAGAAACCGTAGCCTGGGTGAATCATCTGAACGCCGTGGGCGAGGGCGATCTTGATGATCTCGTCACCAGCCAGGTAGGCACCAACGGGGGTGTATTGTCCTCGCTTGCCGATCATGTATGCTTCGTCCGCCTTTTGTCTATGCATGCCCAGTCTGTCTTCATAGCTGTAGACAGCCACGGTCTGAAGGGAGAGTTCGTGAGCAGTTCGGAAAATTCTGATGGGAATCTCGCCTCGGTTGGCCACGAGGATCTTCTTGAGCTGCATAATGGACGAGTTCGCCCTCAGCCGCTGGTGGACCGAGTGCTCAAGGTGGTGTGATTGACCATCCTCGTGGTCTGCATCGGTGCCGGTGGTCGCCATGGTTGTAAGGCTAGGGGTGAAGCCTGGCTGCTGGCAAGGGCAGCTACTGGCAAACGAAGCTCCTTGGAGCTCGGAAGGAACAACAATAAGGGAGTAAGAGGGATTTGAGGACGGAGGAAATGTAGAGGGGAGGTCAAATAGTTGATGGAGGGGAGCTGGGGTAGATAGGTCCGGGAGCTCTAGCGAAGGTTTGTTGTTTTCTGTTGAATGATGAGGCGTGGAGCCGGATGACGGGAGAAAAAACAATAGCTGTTAATACGTCGATGCCCAGGTGGGAAAGATATGGTAGATTCAACCACTGAATGAGGATTGGATGAGCTCTGGTTTGGCAGCACCAACGGAGAGGATGGTGGGTAGATAAGCAGGTAAAGGGATTGGTGGGACGAAGCTGTATATATTGAGAGTGGGGGGTTGATTGGGAACAAGCCCAGCCGCAGCTTCTTTTTGTTCTTTTTTCCTTCTGCTACGGGCGTTCTTGGTGCCTGCCAACTTAATCGATATTTCCATTGCAAGAGCTCCGGAGGGGCAGCAGGAAGTGGTGAGCTCCCCGAACAGCCTCGGATTCGAATGGGTAATGGAGGGGCGGGGGAGGGTAGCCACGGTGTAGATTCGGATCCCAAGAGAACCGATGCTGGCCGATAGGCGTGCTAGGGGGTGCTAGGGGTGCCCGGGGAGATTTTCTGGGCTAGGTGGCTAGTGATGGTGCCTGGGTTGCTACTTAGGTGCCTTTTGGGGGGGAGCCTCGGGGCAATTTCTTGACTAGGATGCCTGCTGTAGTTGGTCCGTGACGTGAATTGTCGTGGCCTTCCTGGTCGATCATGTGGGGTCAAGTCCGACTTTACTCATTCTTGCCATTCTCTGGTGTTCGGACATCTTTCCCCGGGTCTACCGAGCCCTCGAGGGATACCACTACTGGATGCTGTGTACTGTACGAGGTTCTCGGTATATACCTAGATCTACTCAATAAAAATATCTCCTAAAGGACTCCATGTCTTCGAATCGCATCTCAAACACCACCACATCACGCACTGCAGATAAAGCTTTACTGAGTCACCCACCCACTCGAGCCTTAACTCTCCCCACACTGCAGGGTTCCTGTGGGTGGATAGCCACTAAAGGAGCACGAGGGGAAGACAAATATCGATAGAAAATGAAAAGTCCATGATTGGAGTTAGTCATGGCTGCGGCTCTCGCTTATCTTCTCCTTCCCGTGGTCAAGCAGAATCCCATTGAAATTTTACTCCCCTATGGACCCCCAGGAACAATCTCCGGTAACAGAAGTCATGCCGCTTTCCGGTTCCCACGGAATCTCGGAAAAATAGTAGTCCTGGATGACCCTCTACCTCACTGAGCTAACATCATACAACAGAGAGAACCATAGCCTCGAGCAAAACATGTTCAGTACCTTTTCCCCGGCAAGCTCTCGCATTATTTTGATTCTTTCGTCTTTCTCTCCTTCAAGAAATCCTTCCTGTCCGGAATTCCTCAGTCTCGTGGGGTTCCGGTTTCTCCCTGACCTCGGGTGTCCACTACGACTCATCCGCGGTCCCTGTCCTCTTCGTCGCACCCATCTGACCCGGCTATTCCCGGATTTTGGTCCTCTCCCGCACCTTCAACTCACAAGGCTGCGTCGCTAGAATGCCCGAGGGAACCCGGTTGGCTGCGGCGTGATGCCATTAGTGTGGCCGTACCCCGTAGGTTGCGGTGCAACGGTCGCGGGCCCTTGCGTCAGCATGAGACGAGTGCCGATGATCGGTGTATTGTCGTCCGTCTTCTGCTGGCTGGCTTCCCGGGCCTTGCGTTCTTCATTGTCTTTCCGCAACTGCTCAATGGTCGTCGCCTGTTGGCTCATGTAGCTAATCATAAATGGCATAGTGAAATCGTTGAGTCCATGCCGCCATGAGATCTCCATCACTGTGTGGAGTGGGATCAGATCATAACACGCGTACAGCATACCCACGTAACACTCGCGACTGCCAATATCGACAAACTAGGACAATGTCAGTAAATTGCGCTCTCAACTCAAAAATGCTTATACTTACGTATCTCAAAAGGTCTTCGACAACCTCGGGCTTGCCAGAAATCGCAGCCGTCTCGATCGCATCGCGGAACAGTTTGTCTTGCTTGGACAGTGCAATTGATTTCTCCCATCGCTTGTTTTTGCGGTAGATTTGCGCTGCGATCTGTCGGAAAAAGACCAAGTCGTGCTTCTCGAGACGTTGGGCAAGCTCCACCGCGTCATAGTTGTCATAATTCTCCACCGAGTCTTTCAAGGTCTTGTAGTCCTCTTCCTCAATGAGAAGATCATGGATAGCATTGTTGACGACGCGCTTGTTTTGGCCTTGTACATTGAGCAAGAAGGGTTTGATAATGGGGATGTTATCCGACTTCTCAAACATACGCACCACTCGGTTGACGTCGATGCGTGGTGTCAGAGCTTGGAGCAGGTCGGTCAGCAACAGCGGCTGCTCCTGCAGATAATGATTCAGCGCGCGATAGTAGATCTCCAAATTGGCCACTTTGACAATGATGTCCTTGAAAGAGTGGTGCTCCCAGGCGTCGGCAGCACGTTCCATCATGGCCAATGCAGCGTTGTCCCATTCGTCGTAGTGGCAGTACAAGAAGATCAGCTCGGGCCAAAGATGCGCCTCTTCGCAAGCTCGAATCATCTTGGGGATATTGATGCGAGACCAGAAGAGCTTGAGATGTTCCATCACCCGATCGGGATGATACTTCGACAGAGCGATACCAAGCTCAGTAAACATACCCATATGTGCCCGTTCAAGGCCAAGGCCGGCTTCCAACAAGGAGATGAGCTCTTCAAAGTAGCCTTCGCGCTCGTATTGTTTGACAAGATCTTGCAGTTCTTCCGCATGGACAATGAGATTCAAACCACAGATCTGTGCAAGACGGAATTCCTTCTTGGCAACGCATGCCTCGTTCACTTGTTTCCATACCTTCACACTGTTCGCGCGTCGGGCGCAATCAACCGCATTTTGGTATTCGCCCAAGTGCACAAGGGTGGTGGCAAGTTTTGCCCAGTTGGAAACGCTGGTAAAGAAGATCTTCGCGGCTTGGTGGTAGCCCTCTTCATACGCCTTGTCTCCAGAAGCCTCTACATCAGCCACATTGGCAGAGCGCAAAAAGTCTTCAAGCTCGGCTAGTTGGTCGAGTCGAGCATAGCAAAACGCCAGCGCGGTATCGATGGCCGGCTCACGCATGGTCTTGCGCGCCATTTTCAGATATTTTACGAGATCTTCATCTTTGCCGGCATGAGTGGCTGTCTCGATGACTTCGTTGTAATTGCTAGGGTCTTGAGCTTTGATGTATGATTCGATGGCATCGGAGACTCTCAATCCGTCGAGTTCGGCCTTTGCAACCTTGCTCCAGACCTCAGGCAAATCAACCTTTTCAGCATATTCTTGGGCACGATCAATGCTGACGATGTGATCGACAAGGACATTGGCCGCGGAGATGTGGTCATTGGTCTTGACGTATATCTCCAAAGCTTCCTCATAGAGACCTTGTTGGATACACATGTTGGCAATTTCTTCCGTGTTGAACTCATTCAGGCGCTGGATGTAGTCCATGAGGCGGCTCTTGTCCGCTTTAGCAGCAGTGAGCATCAGTAAGTTCTGTAGACTACTGTTCTCGCTGAAAGGTGACGGCTCAAGGATGATCTTCTCGAGTAATTCAATGAGTTCGGCTGGCAGGTCGGCATCCAAGAAGGCTTTGACAGCAACAGATACCTTGTCGGGTTCAGAGCTCTCTGGGACTGCTGTTGCGATAACCTGGTCGATGAGAGCTCTTCGGTGGGTGTTGTTCTGAGCCAGCACGAAACCCCAGACTTCAGGATCGGCACGCTCCAGAAGATAACGTGCTTGTGCTCGGAACATGGAGTTTTCGTTGGTGATGTTGATGAGCTCAATATCATTCTGGCCCTTGCGGTACGCGATATATGCAAGGTTGGGATCTCGTTTCTCACAGTATTTGCCTACTATCAGAGTGTCGTACAAGTCATTCTCCTTGAGGAATTTCTCGGGATTATTGTTGCTATCTATTTTCCGTTAGTTAGCAAGGATACTAATGAAACTGAAGTGTGCCAATTCTGGGAGAACCAAGGAGATCTACAACACCAAAGCATCAAAATTGGCCACTTTTGGCCATGTAAATGCTTTTCCGTGCACCTGTGCCCGTCGAGGGGGGACGTTTGGCAATCCAACAGTAGGAAGGCAGGATAGGAAACAGAACATATACTGACCAATGTAAATCTTCGCTAGCGCGTTATAAAGCGCCGGTTGCTGGATCCCTGCTGCCAGTGTGGATTCGAGGAAAGGTAGCAGAATTTTTAGTCGATTCTGAGTCTCAACTTCATTGACCAACTCGTCGATAGGGACAGCCGAAGGGTCGACTGATGCCAACAGGTTCTTGATGACTGATTCTTCACAGTCTAGAGCAAGCAATGCTCCGACAACTGCTGGTGTTCGTGCAGGATTGACTCGTTGAACGTACACTTCGATGGATTTGTATTGCTGATTTCGGTAGAGATAGTTGACCAGATCCTTGACAAAATTGAAACGATCACAGACAATGATCAATGGAAGCTGCTCGGCCAGACGAGCTTCGATGAGGAAGTTCTTGACACGTTCAGGGTTATAGTGATTGTTCTCGCGGCAGATTCTCTCGACTTCCTGGAATTGTCCCATAGTAACAGCTGCCTCAAGGTACTTGAAAACCACTTCTCCATCATCGCTGAGATTGACAATGCTGCCAAGGTAGTAATAGAGACCTTCTGCGGTGCGATGCTTTTCGAATAGTGCAATCAAGCGACTGGGTCCCAGGAGGTCAGAGAACTTAGTGGCAATCTGGATCACAGCAGCCAAGTTCTGCCGAATGTTGACCTTGAGCATCTCATCCATGGAATCCAGCGACTGCTCGACAGACATGCGGCCAAAGTACTGTTGAAGCCATTCAGGGTTAAGCTTGTCGGTCTGAACAAT